AAGCAACACCCTTGAAGTAGAGAAGCAGGCTACATTGATCAAGCAGAGGCTTGAGAGGCACCAGAGCAGCTCACCAACCCCTATCTATGAGGCTCTAAGTCAGCTTTCCAAGGGGGCCCAGATAATGGCTACCTCAGCAGCCCTAATGCAGTCACAGATTTCTACACTTCAACAGGTGAATGAAGCAATGAGTATGAGGAGGAAGAGGAAGAGGAAGGTATTTCAGTCAGATGTAAGCTTGTCAGTGGCTGAGGTTGAAGCAATAGAGGAGCAAGAGCAAATTGAAGCACAAATAAGAGGAGAGATGAGAAGGCTAAAAAGGAGATCACCTACATGTAGTAGCTGCAAGCAGCAAGGCCATACTATTAGAACTTGTAGAAACAAGGAGTAGCTAATAATGAATCATATCTGCCAATTTGAAGTAATTCAAATAAGTGGTTGTGAAGATATTGATTTTTCAAGACTGGTAGTAGTAGATTTGCGTCTCACGCCCTGGTTTGTCTCACGCCCTGGTGGGGCGCGTTAACCAAAATATTTACGCGTTACATACCAAAATCCCTTGATACAAGGGTTTTCTGTACCTTTAGTAGGACTTGTTGAATGAGTCTCGTCCATCGCACATGCTAGAAGCAAGCGCTGTCTACCACACATCCACATTTGAGGCAAATGCTACAGATGGGGCTGCTTCTTCATTGTAAAAACTCAGTGCAGCAGCAAGCCGGTGATCCTTCACATCTTTTCGATATCGCCATGCCATGGTCCATCATCACAGAGCTCTGGAAAATTGAGATGTTACTGCGAGCGATCCGCCACTTCGGTCGTACGTTCTCAAAGTGGAGCAAGCAAATGCAGAGCCTTTGTTGTAATGAGATTTGATGGATGCAGAATGAAGATTAGCCGAGATCCGGCCCGCCAAATCGGACTTGTTTCCCGGGTCTTGAGAGACGGAAGCAGGACGAGCGGAGTGCTCATCGGCAGCGTCAACGCTGGTTGATATGTATACGTATTGCATAGGATCAACACAGCGATTGAATTCGTCTCGTTATCGCAGCACGTGCCAAGCTCTGAGCTGGCTTGGCGTCCGGGCCGCGAATCCTCGCGATTGCAACTCACCTTCTGTCTTCGTCGCAAACACCGCTCTATCAACCTGTATCTACCACCCGAAAGGACATGACATCAGCACGTCAGACGTCTGTTCTACCGGTATCGGGAAGCAAACTTCCGGCCATGGCGCGAGTGGCCACGGAAACGCATGCTGATGTTGGTGAACCATCTCTCACGGCGAGCTATATCCACCAGGAGTTGTCTCGATTCGCCGATATCCAAGCCAGAGGCATCAGGTACGAATTTCAGCGACAAGAGAAACGGATGCACGACCAAATCGAAGGGCAAGATGAACGAGCACATGCGCAATTCGAGGACGTTCACGCTCGATTTGATCTTCTGCAAGCAACACAGGTCATAATAGGCGCCAGGCAGAGTAATCAGACGGCATACCGGCTCACGAGCAGGATTTATCCTGTAGAAATGTTTGACACGACCAAGCAGATGCTGTGCAAGCCTCCTGAGGATATCTTCCCTCGCTGGGTTGGTAGTTTCTGGCGCCTCAAGCAACCGCGCAACTGGAGCAAGCTGGTGAAACTGCATGAGTTTTACAAGACAGAAGGGTGGGAAAGATGGGGTGTCCAGTCTTTCGAAGATATGGATGGTGAAGATGCAGAGCAAGATGAGCATCAGGAGGTGGAAGAGGAAGACAAAGTTGAGCTTGTACCAGGCCACACTTCTCTGGCAGAAGCCATCGAGTACGCTCCAGATATAGCGCTGAGCGAGCTGGCGCGCCACCTGGGTCTCAATTACGACGAAATAGGCGTCCGCGTCACAAATGCTTTGGTGTCCGATATCTCCGGTCGAATAACAGAACAGCGGACGAAGCGGGCGAGTAGTGCTATGCTCGACTTGATGCAACAGGGAAAGCGGTGCAAAACTCTCGGAACGAGAGAGGCGGACGCACAGATTTCCTCGCCGACCGAAGGAAAGCAACCGCTGTCTCCTGAGGACGAGGGCAATGACGGTAATCCGCCATCGCCTACGGAAGTCAACACTCCTCCCGGAAGACTGCCGCTGCGAGACCTGATTGGTAACGATGTTCCCACGAAAGTCAGGGAGTCCCCGCGAACGATTAGTACGAAGATTGGCTGGAAACCACCGTCAACGAGTTCGAATTCTTGACTATTTATGGCTTTCATTCTTGTGAAGGATAGACTGGCGTACACCTTGTTCGCCCGATTTCAACTCATTTCACCTCATTCCACCACAAAGCTAAATCTGACATATTGCAAGCGGTCTGGACGCGCATCCACTCAATGTTCTCTGGAGCCTTTCTGCACGTGTACGGATTGATCACGGTGCAGCAGATGTTACAGAGTTCCAGGATGCCGACGGATACATACGGGCATTGTCGTCGTGTGAGGAGAAGTGGAAAGTTGTCTCCGTAATGATTCCATATGTCGTAGTTGGCTGTCTACGGTCGATATCTCCTACGTCTACACGATGTGCAACGCCCTCGTATGATTTGCAAGACCATTGCATCACATTGTGGATGCAGATACCTCCATGACAAGGCACAAGCGGGTGGAAAGCGGCTTCGCTTTGCTCGTCGACTTATATAGGACCGTGCTGTTCTTGAGATCTGTAAATGGACATTCATCTGGTTCTAAGGTGACAACTACTATTCCGCCATAGTGGTTATGCGCTTTTTCAGCGGCTCATCATTGAACGCGGTAGTAGCTGTGCTGCCTTCTGCGCATATGTTCAATACACGCTTATGGGCACGAGTACGAATGTATGAAGATGACAGTATGCGATGACTGGCTTGATAGCAGAACAGCGTGAAGAACCGTTGCTACAGCGTGGATCAGCATTCGAACATGGAAAAGGGTTACACAGTCTTTTCCCACCCGTAGCCCCGAACCTGCGACATTCACCCATCCTGACTTCGGCACTGATCGTATCTTACAGAATAGACGGGATGAAATACAATGGATGGGTTCCCCGTCGTAGCAGTCCGGATTCCGGCACCGTTCCAAATATTGATACTGGATTTCAGTCGTTCTAGTTTGTGTTTGCCGCAACGACGCTTAAAACGCCTCGACCTTTTTGAAAGTAAAGAGCAGACGCCCGCAGGGAATGACTGACTTCATTGGATAGTCGCGCGTTGGACATCGTCACCCACGCTTTGAGATGGAGATGTCGTGAGCGAGTAAGAGGACATATCACCCCGCCTCAACGGGGTCGCTATCATCTCGGATATGGAGATCCGTGGTCTCCGTCAAGGCTATGAGCTCTCCTCCAACATACGCGGCGAGCAGCTAAGTGCGTTCTCTACAGAGCGGCTCAGCGGCCTTGCGAAGGCGCTCCACGCTCTGTGACATCTTCGCCCGGGCATCTACTGAGATTAGGAATGCGGTACTGATACTCAAGTCACTCAGGATCTTGTGACACCCTCCACCTCTTGAAACTCGATTCGATCCTCTCCATACGACAAAGCAATGATGCTTGACATCGTCATTTACAACTGGCAATGAAGCACACTCTGCCTTCTATCATGTCAAGGACATCAGGTGTTCCCATTGACGTGGAGACTCTCTTCAGCACCCTTCACCACTTCTCGAATACCCGGCACGCTGCAAGTGGAGATAGACCTTTACATGAATATAATGACATGCCTTCTTCCCAAACTTCCCGAACTTCAAGCCGTTTGACGGGAGGACAGACGGGGCTGTAGTTCCAGATGGTATGAGGCTGTGGGCCATGACGGCATCTTGAGAGACGGGGTTCCTTGCTTTGGTCCACCGCCGCCCACGAATGGGCGAAGGCCAAATCCAACGACGATGAAGAATACGAGCTGCGTGCTGATGCCCCATACTTTATGTTCCCGTGATCGTTGAGGCTCTTCATTAGCGGCACTGGGCCACCTCTGGCATATCAGGGGCTTCAAAAACTCCTCTTTTTCTCCACATATACTGGAGTGTCGTAAAGTAACTCGATATCTTTCATATCGGTTCGCAGCTTTCGATTCATATCGGGCTTGTATCGTGGACAGATGGTTTAGAAAGACAAATGTTGAAAATGCCACATCAGCAAATCTGCAGTCACAGAGCCCACATTTTCCACCATTGAGGCCAAGGATCTGGTTTATGTAGACGAGGATATAGGCGCAGCGCTGGCCAGGAGCAGTCAGGAGATCTAGAAACCCCATATGCGCTGCTTGCTGTTAATGCCGCCACGCGACATGAACCTACAGACCTTGTCACCGATTGATTGCGTGTACGTGTCATTTCGGCAATCTGTTCCAGACTGCTCAACCGCAACAAAGCGTACTCTCAGCGGCAAAACAGTGAATTTTGTGGAACTGCTAGGCTTTCCACAGATTCAAGTCAGCCTTCCAGAGTTCTATCGCAGAACAGGAAACCGCTGTTTTACCCTTGTCAATCATCCATGCACCTTCTTCTGCGATTGGAAGACAGTGCACCGGCCGTGTACCACTCATGTAGCTCACCGCGCCCAGAATTGATAAAACTCAAGTGCGCGTAAGGGCACAAATGAGGAAACTGTTGGTTGCGTAGGCACATGACAAAAGATAACTATCCGCGGTTGCGAGCCAATTCACTCACGGGACAAGGTCTCAGGTCTATTTTCACGATCAGCCTGTCTCGTTCCCGTCTTATTGAGAGGTATGCGTACTTACTCAGTTGGCAAATGGAGCGCTCGTAGTACAGACTCTACGTCTGCCGACTTGCCCCAAAACTCTCCTACCATCGTCACCTCATCTCGAGTGCTCCCTGGCTCGAGCACGATTTTGCGGAGACGTTTTCAACTCTGCAATCGTCCCCGCTTTTTTAGTGTCACAGTCAGTCATCGTCCTAGTACGGAGGATGTCGGATGCGGAGTGGAGGAAGTCGGGTGTGGAGGAAGTCGGGCGTGGAGGAAGGTGGGTGCGGAGGAACTTGGCTCGAGGCTCATGCGAGGCTAGGCTTGCCACTCCACTGGCAATGTCTTGTTAGCGAGGTCCTATTATAGCGCAGGTTGAGGATCCCACAAGATCCTGCTGGACGATTAGTAATGTGCTCTCAATGAGTCAGAGTTCTTAGTTGACCGAATGCGTAGAGGCTTACGTCCTTGCCGGGCCCGGATCCGATATGCTCGGCCTAGACAAAGCAGATTCGAGACTCGATCGATGATTTACAACGCTTCATTCGCGGCAAAGGGTCACAGCCATGTGCATTCAGTCTCCGATAGCTTAAACGGTTTGCAAAAGGTTGCCTTGACTGTTACATACCTCACGCCCTTGATCTTCGAGGTAGGTCACATACCACGCGCCGCTACATGCTCGGACTGCAGGTATCGACAACCTCAACGCATAGTCGTCAGAATTTGATGCAATTTCACCTAGCTCAGAAAAGACCTCCAATTATTTTGTCTTGTTCCAGCTCCAAAATCGAAGAGTAATAAGTGGACTCATATTCCTCATGATGATAGACATCTTCGATCCTAACAACGTCGCCGCATAGCAAATCGAAGCCAGTCAGCGACCTCTCATTGTCCGCACAGCGCTATACATTGCTCCGGTCAAAGATTTGGTCACCAGCAAAGTGAAAAACCCAACCGTACCGGGATACACTCTGGTTTACTTGACCGAGCTGTCCTACACCAACGTAAATCCAAACGCGTCGTACTTCCTATCAACATCTCAATGGCCGCCTCAAGTCTCGTTAAAAGAAGCGTGCCCTTCCTATCACTTCTAAATGCACACTTGATGGCAAGTGTAGCATCGTTCTGTCTGCGAGAGCTCTAGTAGTGTGGGTTGCTGCGCGATCTAGCTCGCAGCTGCGGCTGCGGCGGAGCGGAGGCATTCTCGACGGAGAGCGTCTGGGACCTTGGCTACCTGGAGAGCAGTCAAAACGACGCAGCTTTGGCACAACAATGTAAGCATGCGGCTGCTATTGTTGATGCAAACTAGGACATCGAAGATCAGATTTTCGATGTGTTGACAGAGAGGACTGTGGCAAGAGCGTGTTACGTTATTGGGCCCGATGATGCATTCTGCCCTTTGCGCGGATAGTGAACCGCGCAAAGGGCTATGTTACCATTGTCATCGTTCAGATAGTTCCCGACGAGGGCGAAACAAAAGAGGTCATGGCCACGACTTTGCCAGCCACCACTCTGCTAAAGTACCGATAATCTCAACGGCCAGCAGTTTCATATCAACATAGCCCCACAGTTCAGAGCACTACCTGACGGAGTCACTGCAGTGAGCACAAGATTCCACCCCTGACCCGACATCGGCGACGTTTGCTTAGTCTTGTCGAACACTGAGTGCAGCAACAACGCGAGAGAACTAGAAATTCAATGTACACGTTCAAAAAGCCGATATCACCCGTGGAAGTCTTTACAACAATGACTTCGCCAGAGCTTGCGAGACTTAGACTCGGTACACATCTTGAGGAAGCTTCAAGCAAAAGTGAACAAGAAAGAAAGTCGCGGTGACGCGGAAGGGAACCAGCACAGACGCACCAGGGCAGCCCCGATTCGCGACAACATGATCGGGAAGGCCTGTCAACATTCAGGGTGGATTGACGTTCATTTCCTTATTATCGCCCTTGAACATTCTTGTCGCCGCGTGTTGAGTTCCGAGTCTGTCTGTCGTTATATCGAATGCGACCCCTGTGATCTGCATGGGCTAGCTAATCCAGGGCTATTGCGGTGTTTGGGTCCAGACTTTTGGCGCTGACACCAGTTCTTCTCAGATTATAACGCATATCGGTGGATTGGTTCGCTAGGTCGGCGCATCCGTCCAACAAACGCTACCAATTGTACCGTCTCGAAAGTCCAGCGCAGATCTACCACGATAATGACCGTGTCGTAAAGAACAGCCCCGCGGGGTAATGCTCCGATGCACGATGCTTGCTGTACATACCTGAGTCAAGCCGTCGAGCTCGCTCTTTAAAGGCCATTGGCTATGCAACGTGTTTCCGGAAGTTCAACACCATCCACCGGGCGAGGAAGGGCCAGTATTCCGCACGAATCGGCGTGAGGGCCTAGTAGTAGTGAATATGATCATTACGGGGAGACGACATCGGAATCAAGACCAGCGTCCCTCGGGCAATGAGCGTTGGCACAAGTTGTCATACCATGTCGTTCTAGGCAATAAGTCCTCCAGACTGAAAAATGCTCGCAGGTGAGTATCGAAACAATGGTCGAAGACCTGTAGATAATAATCAGCACTCCCAGAGAGGCATTATACTTCGACCTTGGGTACCAGCGGATTCCTGATGATGCAAGAGCTGCCGTGCAAGCCGGAGTATAGCTGTAGGGATGACATCGCTTTTGCTCTCGCCACATTGTCATCCTGTCGATGATCAAAGACGAAGGGGGGAAAGACTAACCGTGTCATGCGACGAAATTGCTGGTATACGAATTCTACAACATCCGATTGTCCACAGTTTCCACATGGCTGATCACTGTTGCACTTTAGTGTTGTTTGGTGTATTATATGATTGTCACCGTTGAGCGAGGCGATAACGCAACACGTGACTATATGGTACCCACATTTCAACCACTGTCCATATCCGTAGTCATGCTCTCTTTCTACGGAATGTGCTAAGCTGAGGAATCCCGACACGAATCTGCAAAACCTCGACACCCTTTGTGTCGATATCTTTTATCCTCATGATTCTGATTGAAGTGTTCCATCTACGAGACGTTATGGCAAGGTAGCAACATCGACAACAGGAGCAAATTCAAAGCCTTCAGACTCTGCGACTTCGCAGCTATGGAAGACGGCCGAATCATCCTGCTTTGTTGACAACACAATTAGCACGACTAAGTCCAAATGTTCATTGCACAGTACGGGTAAATGTTATAAGCGAGTTTCTACTTGTATCGTGTACGGCTCTCGCCCATTTCCAAGAAACGTGAAAACGCCTCCCGAATCCATGACGACCTATAGCCAGTGGAGCTCGATTGTGTTGCCCGACGCTGCGAAGCACTCTGCTATTGTTCAACCGTAAAAACTACGACTTTCTACGTTCTATGCTTTCTACGATGGCATTATGCAGCCTTCTCAAGACGTGAACAGTAGAAGCGTCTGAATAGGCCAGTCAGACTATGCAAAGATGGCTCAGGATCGCAGGGCTATTTGCTTCAAAGAATCTTTCTCTCATGTCAAAGGATTTTCCCACTCGATAGCGCGGATCATGTGTTGCCACCATCATGCAGGCGTACTGTCAGTCAGTACACTTCCATAATCTTCGGTGGACAGTCAAGAGTAAGAGCCGAGCATCCGTTCCTATTGGTCACTGGGTGAAAGTCTTGCATCATGATCAGTCCCTGAGATACGAAGAGCGCCGAATGTGAGACAGACCATCGCGGTCCGCGTCGGGAAGAAGACATTTCGCATGCGAGTGATTTGAACGAGCACCTTTGCTAACGCTAGTATCTTCGAAAATGCTTTGGGCAATCCGCAATGGTCCACTGTGTGATCGAAAGTCTGCCTGCAGTTGGGATCACTCGAACTTCAACCCGTGGGTCCGAAAGGTGATATGGGCGTCCCTGACCGCCTTCATTTTCGATGAACGGATGCAGCTGCCCATTGAGAAGGTGAATGCCAGCTTGCTACCCTTTGAGCCGGCAATAGACAGCCTTGAAACTGTGGCCACCAAGCTTATACCTGTGAGGCTGATCAGTTGAGGTGACCATTACGATCGCGTAGTAGGAGGGCTTCTAGCTTCATCACGACTCGTTTAACCTTTATGCTGTCCCGAATGATGGAGTCCGAAAATAACAATGGGCTTTCTCTGACGTGGAAGCAACATGATCACCCAAGTTTATAGTAGGCCGTTCACTGCATCGAGTTGCTCTGAGTTCATTTCAACGCTAGTTTGAGTGTGGAAGGTGTTCTGTCACGTGATCTGACTTGACAATGTGATTAACAGTGCCTTGGCAGCGAGTGTCGAGCGTTTCTTGGCTTTTATCTTGTCCGATCCCATGAGTTTCCGCAATCACCTTTTCAAACTGGTGTGCCGCATACAAAAGACGTCTCCTTGAGATCTCTCATGAGGAGAGATGAACTCGTTCCGATTCGGTCTAGCCTCATGTAAGATCGCAAAAGCGCAGTTTCATACACCCTGCGAAATCAATTTGTGACCCAGCAACGCCAACCTCAGACGATATTTGACGTTATCAGCATCTCAGTCTTAATCATGTTCAGTCTGTTCAACATCACATTCCGTTATGTGAACTACCGAGCACCTTTCGACATGAACAAGACAGGTGCCATCCATGCTAATGGAATTGGTGCCTCAACGATCCAACACGCGATCGATGTCGCACGCATCACCGAAGGATCTCTAACTCCGACAGCATCCGCATATCTTGAAGACGCTATCGAAAACATATGGTCACGGATTCTTTGCACACCAGGCATCTATATCCTCAGCAAGGATGGACTTGGTCTCTTCAACTACTTCATTGCTGGGTTCGAAGGTCTCCATGTAGCCGAGCAAGCAATCGCTAGATACTGGGGTAACAAGGGGTAGGGGGAAAAGGGGTGGACGCGATACCTTTTGCCTTTTGGAATGCAAATGCACACCTGCTCGCAAGAGCGATCCTGGGAGTCAGTGGGCAGACTATGTTTAGGGAGGTCAACGGTGCGAATTGAGGGACGGTTCGAGATAATAAGAAGTCCGTATCAGCTCGGTACAACGAAACACGGACTAGAATTCAGCTAGTCGATGAGCATTTGTGCTGAGCACTTGGCGAGACCTAGATTCAAGTTTGAAGAAAAGCTCCGTGACGAATCACTCTGATAGTCCCATCGGAGCGAACGCCTCCCGCAATAGCATAAGTCATGCTTTGATATCTTCGAGCACGCTTAGGATCTACTAGAGACCTCAAGATTTGTACGCACACAGCACGTCCATTCACAGATGTCTCATCTGTGTTGCAAGTCGTCTCGAACCCCTAGGCCGCCGAAATCGATGGAAATCGATCGCCATGTTCAGCATCGTGCAAAGTCTTGCCTAGCCGGATTCTGGTCGTGCACGAGTTGCTCCTGAGCGGAATATGTCGGTGCACTGCAAACGCATAGACATAGATGATGAGCCTTGAAGGCCCTTTTGCAGCTGTACTGTTTGAAGTTTTAGAGCTCAAAGATTCCCTGCCGCACAACTCGACTATGGCACCTTTGGCTAATTGGTTTGTAGTATTTGTAGGCCAAGTGAAAATTGAACAATGCGGCTTTAAGATTCATATGGATCTCGCGGATTTGTTCAGGTCTTATTACATATGGTTGATAAAAGATGCTCAAGAGTATCGGCATTGATCTCACCAACATAGTACGAAATTCACGTGAGCCCTACAGTCTTCATTTGAAAGCTCACCATTTACACTTCCCAGTAGAACAGCTTAGCCGATATGCACAGCCCGGCGGAAGTGGGAGGAGAACCAGAAACGCACCAAGCGATCCTTTACGTGACGCTGCAAAACTCTACTAATTATCACTGAAGAGTACAAAAGAGATCGGCTGAGTGTTCCGTACACCGTGGATGGTCTAGTTAGGGTAGGTACCAGGTCACCTGACTAGCAGATTGAAATGGGATCAACTCAAGCTGAGTACGTCTTACACCAAGATGATAGCACTATGTCATGGGACAAGCATGATCATGAGATGTATGTATGCAATGCGCATGGGTTCATTTTGACATTCGGCACATCAACGTGTGGAAAAGAGCGATTACGGCCTGCATGTACACTCAAGAGGGTCAAAGAGTATGCAGGAGATGAGAGCAGAGGCAGAGAATGTCTGCCATTCGTCACCTAGAGACTCAGGGCTGAAAAGCATTAGCGTGTATCAGTATTAGCACTTCTGTTCATGTCAACCCGTTCTTGAACGATTGAGTCATTGGCAGATCATTCTCTATAAGTGTTCATCAACATTTGGTGCGAAGGCGAGAATTTCTCGGAGTGGACAGCCCCAGATACTATCATAACATGAACTTGGTCTTGGGGTACATGAGTCGGCCGGTATAATCCACAAAGACCGAACTAGGCGTCTCATATGATGCTCCTGGGTTTAGAAGCAGGTTCTTAGCATACACCGAAAAGTTCGATGCCAGTTCGAGTCCACGGGGCTTGGTATTTATGCCGCAGCCAAGAAGCATTGCTAGCGTATGAGAGAAAAAATCATATGTAGCCCAGAGAAAGGAAACCTGGGCGACTAGTGAGAAGATCATTTGATACGTCGGAATCCTCAGTCAAGACGGAGTCAGACCCGAACAAATAGCTTACACATGGTGGCCAGTCAGCGAGTGTAGTCCATACTGAGAAGCAGACAAACGAGCGTCAAGATCAGATGCAGGAAATACAATTCTTATATACGGACGGCGAGAGCAGTAGGATCAGTGCATATTTGAGACGTACCGCACATATTGCATATCTAAGACACTGTATTTCATATGGTCGATCATAATTGACTTCGCGACCTGAAGCTAGCAGGGACGATAGGATGAAACCGCGGCGGCGATTTATCAAGCTATGTACGAGGTCGCCGAGAGGGATCAAGCGTCGATCGCGCGAGGTTGAGTAATATTACGATTAAGTTAGCGGCGATACAGACCAAGACACCGGTACACGGTGGCCTCCATCAAAGCAGACGATACAGCCCTCAAAGATTGTTTACGCGATGAGCAGAAGATATTGATGTTTTCAGTCCGAATCTGACAGCCGCGCGTTGCTACAAGGTTTGATCGCTGCATCGATTCACGGCTCGCCGTGCGAGCCTTAAACTGTAAATCAGCGAAGGAGCCTTTAACTCTTCCGTCGATCTGTAAACCGAGACTATAAGTCAGGAACAGTCTTGATAAGTGATGTGCCATTGAATCTCGTCACGATTCTGATGCATAACGTCTCTGTCGTGTTCGTGTAGCCATTCGTGGGAGCAAAGGAGCCATCGCAGCTCGTTGCAATGAGAAAGAAGATCATGCATCGCATACCGCCACTGCGGGCGTCCCTCACTCCTCCTTCACTGGCAAAACGTTTGTCGTTAAGCTTATACCATGTAAGGCACTCTGACCACTAACTTAGCGTACTGAATGAGCATGAGTCGTGGATGCCTTCAGGAGATCTCCTCTGTCATCTACTGACATGTACAGAGCACAGCTGCTTATCTTCCCTTTCACTGCGATAACCTGTAATACTGGAAATGCGAGGAGTTGGGAATAGAAACCAGGCAGGCCCTAACATATTTGTGCACAATTGATGTCTCATTCTTTTGCATCCTATCCGAGGGTTTACCTGACTTTCTGCAGCCTCTGATCCGGTCATTGCCCCGATCCACCTACAATTTAGAGCTGTTGTCTCTCTATCTGCGGTCTCATCAAAAGCCAGCATTATGTATGTCCATCATGCTGCTGGGGCACGTTATTCCCAAGTCGGCGTGCTTTCTTGAAAGCTCAATCTATGTGAAATCCCACCCTACGATGTTGGAAGATTCAGGGCAGCACGCAAGGCGTTGGCCGTCTGAATGTAGCGACAGAATCCGCCGTCTTTGAGTCAAAAGAGAATGTCCGGTAGAGGTGTTCGCATTCCACGTCGCGGATTGAATGATTGGATCAAACCGCACAGAGCGCCACTGTCCATGCCCGGCCGATCTCCATACCAATATCGATCCGTCTTGATCCCCTGTAATGATGATTCCAGTCGACGACACATCCAGCATTGCCGTCACAGTCCGGACCATAGCGTTGTGGGGAAGAAAGGCCCAAGCCCGGAGATGGCGATCGTAGATGGTAATCGAGTTGTTTCTTCCCCCACTGATAATTGTCCGTTCATTGAAATAGACGCAGGCAATAGATCGAGGCTCTTCGACTGATTTCAGACAGACACCATGTTCGATGCTCCAAATCTTCATGGTGCCATCCGCCGCGCCCGAAACTATGGTGTCGCCGGAGAAATCAATGGCGTTAATGGGACCATCATGGCCAGTCAAGACGTTCAGTGGTGCGATCGTATCGCTCGAAATTTGTTCGAGAGCTTTCAAGCGTATGGTCGACAAGCTCCATACCTTGATCTTCGTGTCCACAGAGGCCGTTACCAGAAGTGTGCGATCGAATTTCAGCCCGGTGATTGATCCGTCATGGGCCTTGACGATGCGACGAAGCATTCCTGGGGGAGAAAACCGCCAAGAGATCAGCTCTCCACGACTACCTCCAGAGACGATGGCGTTCGTATCGCGATGTGCGTCGAATTGGAGACAAATCACTTCTTCCTGATGCCCACGTAGCGGCTCACTGGCCAGTCGATGTGTGTCGAGGTCCCATATCCGGATGGTCTTGTCCAGACTACCACTGACGAGATATTTTCCTTGCGTCTGCAGCGCGTAGATATCGTCTGTGTGACCCTCATGAGCGTATGCGGAGCGCGGCAATTGAAATTTGCGGCATCTCAAGGTCTGCCAGTTCTGGCTCAGCTTCCACGTGTGTTTGAAATGCTGATACCAGTTGCATCGCACGGGGTTGGGTGAGTGTTGCGAAAGAGAGGTCGGAATAGTAGTCTCGGGTCTGATGAGCTTTGGGCAGGTATACACCCCAAGCCTGAGTTTGACGATCAGTCCGTTTTGTTCGCAGAGACGTCTCCATTGATTAGGATCTTTGCAAAGGACGTGAAGCAATCTTGCAACCGCAGACGTTCGGAGCAGTTCACGATGGTTGAGGTAGGTGAGAATCTCACGAATGATCTCTGTGGGAAGCATGTCGAAGGGAGCACGTGGCACAGCCATGTCGAGAGTCATGATATCCTAGCTGAGCGTGGTTGTAGTCGCGGTCATGTTGAACAGTCTCGCGTCTACATATCATCCATGGGGTGTACACAAGTAAACAAAAACAGAGAACGCGGCAACAACCGCGGAGCGGGCCGACAGCCTTCTGCGTTCGTCGATGCCCTCCTCGAACCCAACCAGATGAAGACTAACCAGATCAATCACAATCCAAATGAACGGACATACGAGCCGCCCTTTGCATCGATTCGCGACACCCAATCATGCATTGCCGCTTTTAAAGTGTGAAACGCCGCAGTGTGAACCAATAGTCCCAGCGCTTATGAGGCGATGGCGCTTATACGCAGACGAGACAGCGCTTGCACCGAAGGGCTATGCCATCCATATAATGCCATATGAAGGTGTTGCCTCACAATTTCTTTTTCCATGATCAACTTTCCGCAGCTCTATTGACGTCAAATCTTCACTTTACCACTGTCAGGCACTTTTCTCTACTATCGTCACTTACACCGTCATGCATTCTCCTGTCGAAGATGTTAAGGGCACGCTCACTAAACTCCGCCAGCGTATCACCGAACTCGAACAAGACCTGGAAATAGCCGTGGCTGAAAGGTATGATTGTGTCGTCTGATCTTGTGAAGATCAGTTGTCAGGTGACTTACACGACACAGAGATCAACTTCGCCAAGAAGTACGGCTTCTTCGACAAATCGTATGCGAGCTCGCGTTTCTTCCAAGCACCGGGAAAGAGTTGACATGGACAAAAGCTGACTCTTATAAGGTCCGAAACTCCCCGACAGAGCTGTTCGAGAGAATTCAGGATGATGAGCTCAGACGGGTGTGTTTTGATGCCACAGGCGGTCGAGATCTTCCAACCAATTCATATTACGAGCCAGCCGATACTGATGTTCATGCACATGTGTACCCGGACTACGTCCAGGGCGACGAAGTGATCTTGATGGCAACAAATGACAACATGCTGCCGGATGGTCACGAACCACAAGTCACAGCTCTGGGTTTATCCTCTCCCAGGAGTTCACTGGCATCATTTGCCAGTCTTTCGCAAACGCACGAAAAAAATGAGCTTCGTGGTCCTCTCCCTGCACAGATGTGCGCCACCATGGACTCCATCCTCTTGGTGACAGCAAA